TTATCAGTTAGCAAGTTAGTTCAACTCATCAGCCAATGAGCTGGATAATCCTCTTTTCAGTATTTTTATTTTCCCGTTGACTTCTAGATAACCAGAAGTGTTTCTGCAAGGCTTTACTTTTCAGATCTGGGATGTACGTCCATCTCTCTGCTGTATATTATCAGCTTGCCTTATGATTCGTTGGCTACTATGACTGCAGCACCGGCAAACATATTTGCTCTCTCATACATTAGACAGGCCCATCTCAAACTTTTAAAGTAACACATACACTCCTGTGAAAAGTACACCCCAGCGATTCAGCAGCTTGTAGAGCCGCCTTTAACAGCAATAACTTGAAGGAATCATTTCTGTTTCAGTTTGTGAGTCTCTCACATCGTTGTGGAGGATCTTTTCTTCTTCTTTACAGCGTTGCTTCAGTTCATTGAAGTTTACATGCATGCATTTAAGGTCTTTCTTTACTTTTTCAGCCATTCTGTTGTAGATTGGCTGTTGTGCCTATGATCATTGTACTGTTGTATGATTCAGTTTCAGCCAAGCTTTAGCTGCCAGACAGATGGGCTCATATTTGGCTCTAGAATACTTTGGTATGCTGAGAAGTTCATGGCTGAATAAACAATTACAAGGTGCCCGCGGCCTGTGGCAGAGTGCTGTGTAAACACATAGTGAGTGAAGAAGAAATACTCAGTGCATCATGGGAAGCCCCCAACACCCTGATCCTGATCACCTGATCCAGTCCCAACTATGTGCTTTATCAAAAGGAAAGTTTTAAACCTAATTTTTAAAGACATTTTTAGAGAGAAGAAGTTTTCTCCTGGAAACCAAACAAGTTGCACTTGTTCAGATATTTTTCTAAGTGTACTGCCATAAACCCACATATTTAACATGCTAACAGAGGCCTGTAGAGTTTGAGATGTAGCTTTTGGATTTTTGGAGGGTTTGTTTGAGCACCTTCCGACCTCAGGGTGAGTTTGCTGGAACGTACACTCCTGGGAAGGTTGTGTTAACCAAAGTATCGTGTTAACACACCGTAAATGCTTTTATAGGGGTGCTGTAACACCAAGGGTGTATTTGGTTTTCACAGAAGCGCACAGAGTTCTGTGAAAACTTTAAGATAGGGTCGATATACACATTCAGCTATCTTTGCAATCTAGGACCTCAGATGCAGCTCAGCTTTCCAAAACAGCCAATTGGTTAGGGATATTTATTATCCCCTAACCAAGGAGTTTTGCTTTTGTTTCAATATCTAAAAACATCCCATATTTTAGATCCATTTTCGTGTTCATTTGTTGTTTCACAGCATCACACAACACTGGTGCAAATGTTGCAGAAACCAGTGCGTCACAGGCTTCTGTTGTTCGCCCTAATGATGAAAATCACATCATCATCCTGTTTGGATCTCAGATACTATCAGCAGACAAGAATGTGTTCTATAAATAAATTACGACTCGCCCAAGGCTCCAGTTCTGTTCCAAATATGAGTTACAACGTTAGCGCATTCAGATGTATTTCTCTGCAGTTCTGTTTGTACAGGAGAACAAACAGTAAATCGGACAGATGCCGTTCTTATACATTTTAATCACGTTTCAAGACAGTTTAGAATTTGTTTTAGCTTTATTTAGCACAAAAAGAATGTGTTCAAGTGAGGAATAGTGATATAATAATATTTAACACTTAAATAAGGCATAAAATAAATAGTACTAATATTATTTCCCTATTTTTCATCCATATTGTCTATTTGGATATTCTGGGCAATATGTTTGTTTTCTTCTTTCTACTTCATCCTTGTTTTCTCTGTTGTTTTTATGTGTTCATCTTTGCTGGCAAGAAAATTAAATTTCTCCTCTTTCCTCAGAATCGGCTCCCAAGGCCTTTGGTATCCCGCTCTCCCAGGTCATCGCCAACGACCGGGCCTACAAGCGGCGGCAGGATGCTCTGAAGGAGAGCAGGCGCGACTGCCTCGACCTGGAGGCGAGCGTCCTGCGATTCAGGGCGGAGAAGCGACAGTTCTTCAATGGGAGCAGACCTCTGGTCAGCTCCTCGTCCATCACAGGAGGAGGTCCGGGCTCGCCGTCTGCTAACTCTGTGGCACCGGCGCCAATTCCTGACCCTCAGAACAAACCGCTGTCACCCACGTTTCTGGATAACACCGGACGAGGACAGAGAAGGGTAAGATTTCTTTGAGTGACAACACACGCACAAAAACAGTGGACATGTGTTTCTTTCTGCCAGATTTAGTCTCATTCAC